AGGAAAGGGCAAGGGAGCCAGATGGGAGGACAAAGCAGGAAGTAAAAGGGCACTGTGTGGGAGGTGAAGGCATGGGGTAGGGTCAGTGAAAGCAAAAGAGTAAGGGAGGTTGATGGGAAGAGATGGGAGGATGCTGGGAAAGGAGCCGAAAGACAGAGGGGAGCAAAGTCTCTTTAAATAGCTAAGGCCTTTGCTGGGGCCTCATCAAAAACAAGTCAGTACAGAAACCCTCCCTTGATTTAGAGGAGACTAGAGTCCTAGAGCCGTGGGGCTGGAAGGGAGCTGCAGAGGTCACATCTAGTCCAACCCCTGCCTCAGTAAGGGTTAGCCCTGTGCAAACCAGCCCAGACACATCCATGATCTAACAACTTTGTAAAACCATAGTCAGCCCTGACATCACATCTGAACCTGCCGCAGGGAAAGCAGGGGGACAGCAGCTGCCGACGTCCTGCTGCTTTAAAAGGTTGTTAACAGACGCTCAAGAGATCCCAGGCAGAGGCTGTGCCCCTGCTAGAGAGGAAGGCAAGGGGAGTCTGTATCAGTGTGAACATGGGGGAAGATTCCTTCCTGACCCCAAATCTGGCATTGGCCTGAGCCTGAGTGGAGGGGCAAGACCCTCTAGCCAGGACCCTCTGGGTTTGGTCCCAGTAAGAGCATTGGGACAGCCCAGTCCCTATCTCCAGCCTGGGCTGCAGCAGCACCCGGTGCCTCTGAGGGAGGCTTAAAAACTCCCTGACACATGGAGCAGAAAGGGTAGTGGGGGCAGCAACCAGCAAGGGACAGCCCTGGGAGATCCCCGTAGCAGAACACAGGCATCACTATGCCTAGATCATCCCTACCCCATGGCTGCCCAGCCCTAGCTCAGGTGCTGATGGTTACCTTCTTCCTGGATTCTCAGGGCTGTTCTGTCTGTGATTCCCTCTTCCCTGTATCCCTTTTTCCCTGTAGCTGGATTCATGAATCAGCGCGGCTTGCGGGTGCCTTCTCCCATCCTGATCATCTCCTATGAGACCTTCCGCCTTCATGCCGAAGTCCTTCAGAGGGGCAGTGTCGGGCTGGTCATATGTGACGAGGTAGGGGTACAGGGGCTGATGCTCCCTTATGGCTGGGCAGTGCTTCTTGTAGTCGGCCCACCAGTACTGATACCCAGTCCTTGACCCTTCGATCCAGTGATAGGAAGGTGCTCTGAGAAGGGCAGTCAGCAGCCTTGGCTTTGCATGCATGACTTGCCTTGGCTTGTGCCTGCATCTTGGGACTACGTGGTAGCCGTGGCATCAGCAGGGACCCCCTCCCCTGGAGACGGCACAGCACAGTGTAGGGATTGAAGGGGAAGTCTGTTGAAGTCTGGGCAGCGTTCCTGGAAGTTAAATTGGGACCAAAGATCACCTTCAGGGCCTCATGTCACTGAAGGGACTGGGCTGGCCGGAGGTGGCTGATCCGTGCAGCTGAGCGCAGGCGCGCTAGGAGAGCACTTTTCCAGGCTGTGTGCGGAGGGGAGCTCCGGAGAGGCTTTCCCAGCCTGATGGGCCTCTCTGTACAGACCTGGGTGCTGCTGGCGGGGGCGGGGGCTGCGGCGGGGCGGGGG